TCGGCGCAACTTACGTCAGCTGCAAAGACAATTGGAGAACTTGACTTTCTCTATCTTAAGACTCAACGCTCGTTGAGTCTTTCTCAAAATATCGCGCACCCACAACTTCTATGTATAGCTCCAACCACACAATAATATTGCACACAAACATACTGTAGTTCTTGATAAAACTCGTCACTGATAAACTAATTTCCTAGAAACACAGCTTTCGGGTAAGTCGTCCTCCATAGGTACAGTGTGCATTGCTACCCAACGGCGGCAACAATCACCATTGATAGTAGGGCTTCAAAAATCTACGCTAAACAAATACAAACGTCTCTCAATAATGATGTATATTAGATCATAACACATTTGAAAAACTCAGTTATTGAAATATGGAGCATTTGTATTAAAGATAGAATGCTGTCTAATTCACCTCACGTTCGTTTTGTAGCTCCGTACGTATTCTATCATTCAGGGAAGTAGTTTAAATACCGCACTAGAGAAGGCCGTAGAAGCCGTAACATTTCGCCGCCCAACAGTAGGCCAAATGTTTCAGACAGAATATCATATTTTATTCTTAATTTTGACAGGTTGGTTTATGTGCAAATATATGTGAAGAGTACTATCGAGAGCTACGATTGGGCGTATCTTGAGGTGCCATTAAAATGACAAATGATAACACAATATCGACATCACTATCTCAGCAATCTCTGGATCAGTCTTTAGCTTTTGATTTTAAGAGATAATATAGAAATTTTTAAAAACTGTTCTTACACACATTTTGATATTTCTTACCATTTGGAGTTGAAGTGCGGTTATTTAAAATATGAAGTGAAAACTCAAGTAGTTATGAAAAGGGGCAATTCAAGCCAATTTTGAAAATGTGCCATGCGACCCTTTTAATTGTCCTTCGAAGTGTCCCATGCGACTATTTTAATTTTAATGAAATATTTTAGGCTAAGTTTGCATGTCTCAAAGGAACTTTTGTGAAGGTGAACCTAATTAGATGACTTCAAATATAGCTTTTCGATAACTGAAAATATAAATTTCTGTGAGCTTCAAATTCGAAATTTCAGTAGCGCTTAAACTCCTGTTCTTTAAAAAGGCTCCAAATTTTCAAAACAAATTTGCCTTTTAGGCAAAGTTAGTATGGTTCTTTAATAATTTAAATATTTTCGCTCTACAATTAAGAAATCGAAAAATTAAGAAGATATGAAAACCAATGTACTTTGGACGGCGATAGAGGTAGCTGACAAGTGTACGTAGCTAGTCACGAATGGCTAGCCGTGACCAAAGGAAATAAAAACTAATACGAGCAGCTAATACGATGAAGAGGGCCGCTATACTTCACTATAATCAGCCGCAATCTCCTAAGCTGCAAAGACAATTGCGAGAACTTACTTTCGCTGTCTCAAGACTCAACATCGTTGAGTCTTTCTCAAAAATCGCTAGCAACCCCAACAACTCATATGTACTAAGACTCCAAACCACACAATAATATTGCACACAAACATACTGTAGTTCTTGATAGAAATCGTCACTGATAAACTAATTTCTTAGGAACACTTATTTCGGATGTGCCGTTCTCCATTGGTACAGTGTCCTTTACTACCCAACGGCGGCAACAATCAGCATTGTTAGCAAGGCTCCCAAAAACAACCCTTGCGCTAAACAAATACAAAGGTCCCTGTGTACTGAAATGCATTTGATCAAATCATCAACATTTGAAAATTAAGCTCTGGAAATATGGATAATTTGAATTAAATATAGATTGTTGACCAACTGACATCACGTTCGTGTTGTAGCTTTGTACGCAGTCTCGAATTTTGGGAAGTTGTTTGAATACCGCAATACGGCAGGCTGTAGAAAGTCTAGACCAATTTTTTCGGACGGAGGTTAATTTTGGATTCTTAATTTTGACACCTTAGTTTATGTAAACGTGAAGAATACCACCGAATTCTATAGTCGGACGCATCTTCAGGCGCAATTAAAAATGACAAATGATAACACAATATCGACATCATTATCTCCACAATCCCTGGTGCTCGCTTTCGATTTTGAACGAGAGGTAATATTGTCATTTCAATCACATTGGCGCAGTTTTGGGATATAAAATTTCCTTCTTTGTTATTGCTTACTTCTTTGCTTCACTGAAATTAAGTCACAGCATTTTTTGCTCTATTTTGTGAAACTAATATCAGTTTGTATATTAATGCACATGAGTAAATTTCAGTAATAACTACTGGTACTTCAAAATTGCACAAACATTGCACAGGGGCCTCTTTCCACAAAAAACCATAGAGTTTTCGAAAAACTTCATAAGATGTCTTTTCAAACATTTTCAGTCACAGATGCAATAGCGTTTACAAATTACTGCAAATGTCAATATTACAGGTGTAAGAGATATTTTAAAAAATGAATTTTTGTAATTTTTGAAAAACAAAACAATACAGTAAAATTAATTTCATGTTATCTTAAAGAGTGCAGTTATCCCTATTTGTTGGAATACTTCGAAGAGAAAGTTGGAGCAGTTTTTAGAAAATCGCGTTTGAGTGTTTCTGAAAATGCGGAATTTTGAGCTCATTTTCACGGAAAACTGTTGAGTTTTCGGTAATCTTTATCCACCATTGTTTAAAGCACATGTACTTATAAACACACTAAAGTAAAGAAATTGTCCATTAAGTAAATATTAACGACGAGAGAGGAGAGACGAAATGTTTAAATTTTGTAATTTTTGAGAAAACCAAAGAACAGTGCAATGTGACGTTTGTCACAGTTTAGAGTTCATTTAGTACTATCACTACCAAATGTTAAATGAAAATATTTGGAGCTGTTTTTGAGAAAATCTTGTTTTTGTAATTTTTGAATATTGCAAATATTGTATGCAAATATTGTATGCAATATTGCTCAAAAACTACTAATATTTTTAAAAAAATACGTGTCCTTCTCGAAAGAAGTAATTATGGAAAATATATATATATGAAAGAAAAACATATATCTTCAATTTTGTAAATGTAGGAAGACGCGGAAAAATTCAAACTCATGCGCTTTTCGAAAATCAGTTACCGTGAAAATAGAACCTTTGGCACTTTTTTGTAAGTGTATTTTACTCTATACGTACAAGAATTTTAAGGGAAAATATTTAGAGCTGTTATTGAAAAAAGTTTGAAAATGTCCGGGGGTTAATGTTAAGTTTCCCCAATCTTAAACCATTGTTTTTACAAATCTCAAAGCTTCGACGCGACTCAGTGGGACCGGGGTTTCTTCAATTTGAAAACAATCCTACTCGTGTTTTAGACGCTAATGGTGTTCATGGTAGGACAGACCCACGGACGAACGTTTTGAAACAATCACCTGTTCAGTATCAGGGGATCACAAAACCTGTATTTCCGCAGAAATGTCTAAATTTCAAATCGATTTTTCGCAGCACTACATAACCTTCCCTTTACTACGTATATTACTCCGTATATACATATGTGCATGGGAAATTAAAAAGTTGACGTTAGTTACTTCGAAAAGAGCAAAAAAATGTAAAGGTAAGCTCAGTCTCATTTGTTTAGCAATTACGGTCCTCCAAAATTGTGGAAATTTATTAGTACTGAGCCCGGGCGTTGCACGTTGTCAAATAATTCGCAATGTCTAAAAAGGTATTTTCCCTTTTTATAATTTTACGAAGGTTTCTTTGTGATATGTTGAACGAAATATACAAAAATTCATCGAAATACTTGATAATCGAACAGAACTCTTTTCCAAAATGATGGAGATAACCCTTTTTGCTTCTCCAGAACATCTATTTACTTAACCTGTTCACAAAATGCACTTGAATTCAAAAATTGTATGAGATATTTTGAATATGTAGGGAAATTTCTTAAAGAACATTTTATTACTTTTCATTTAATATCCAAAACCAAACTGTCAGATAAGAGATTACAGCAATAATGAAGCGAATATTATATTATTGTCTGCCGACTCTAATGGTGTCTCAAGATAAGTTCGAGCACATTTGGACGCACCCTGCACTTTTACACGAACTAGGAATTAAGAATCGAAAAAGAAACTACGCCTCTCATTGTGGATTTGTGTTCTGCGGAATTCACGCTCGGCCGAATTGCAGCCTATTTCGACCCACAACCTTAAACAATCATTAGACGCAAGTGCAGTAGAACTATTGTTTCCTTCAGATGACTTTCATAATCGAATTACATGGAGAAATCGCGCACACACAGCTTATGGTTGGGAATGTTTACATAAAATAGTTTTAACTAAAATATACTTTTAATATCACTTCTCAAGGCTTGAAATTGTATTTTTTTAATTATAACAGACAAAAAAGGTATTGACACATTAGTATTAATTGATTGTGTTGTGGTTGCAAAAAACATTATATATATATATATATATATATATATATATATATATATATATATATAGATGCGATATTTAACGAGTACAAAAATAGTTATATTAGAACTATATATTATATTTTAACTATTCAAAGAATATCCTTCTTAATTTTAATAATTGTGAAATAGAATATTTTGAATGTGGTGATTTTTCAATAATTGTTCACAAAAAAGATATGCTTCATCCAACAAAATTGTACAGTATTGAACTCAGTAGAGTTCAAGCGTAAAATACTTAATCCTTGAGAGACGTGGATCTGCTTCAGAATCACAAATGTACGTTTCGATTGTTAAATATTTTCTTGGGGCTGTACTTACGAATTTCTTATCATTTTGATTTACAGTATTCTATATAATTTATATACACAATGCCTTGTGAAGAGAGATAAATATTTCAAGGGTCATGTGAATATAGATTGTGCATACTTCAATCTGGCCGCCTGCCCCAAGAAAAAGCCGGCGCTCAGTATCATATAACAAAATCCATGGAAATATCTGTGTTCTCATTTTTCTCAAAAAATTATTTTTATTTTAACACATATCGTTTTACAAAATGAATGTTACAAGAATCGATTTCAACAATATTTGAGACCTGATCTATCGTGTTAATATTTTGATTTATTGCACTATTGCAAGATTGTTTTTGATCTTTGCGCCCATTTCTTTTCACTCTGTCCTCTTCACAACCTAAAAATCATCAGCATAATCAGCAAGCATCAATAATTTTAGCAGAAGAAATGGCCAGTCTGGCATCATTTCTTTTCTAACCCGTGGCTCGAACAGCGTCAGCGGAATTTGCCGAAGAGAGCCGAGAGAAGCCGAAGCCAGAAGTGGTGGGGAGAGCGTCATGAGCTCTTGGCGCACGGGAATCGTTCTGCGCATGCGCCACCATTCGCTCCGAAGTCCACGGCCTTCTGCAGATCGCCGACGATCTTCTCGTACTTGGGGTTGTACGGCACCACCCTGCAACAGGCGAGTTTACTGAGGTTGATACAGGTTTCACACAGACAAGTATTGAAAAGTAGTCGTGACTCTCATTGCATACTAAGTAATTATCACACAGGCATGATAGCGTTCATTGTACTTACTATCGTTTATTTGTTTATAGAAGTTGTGTGCCTGGTATTTATTTTGTCGATATCGATGCGTTGATGTTTCATGTTTACGTTGTCTTTTATTGTGCACGTTCATCTTCGTGTTAAAAGTGCATACTTATATCTCAATATATACGTAACGTTTTCATTATTTATCGGGCTTAATGCAATTACATATCTTATTTAATAAATATCGTCTTTTTTAGTTTGCGTATAAATATATTATTTACAAGCGTATCCTTTACGTTGTTAAATGTTATGTTCAAAAACTAAGTTTCTCTAATGTTAACTCTCTCTTACGTTATGAAGAAACACTTGAGTCTTATCTTGAACCATAAAGCTAAAGTGAACTTTTTCCCCCATCTGAAAACCCGTGTTTTATGAAGATAAGTGCTTCAGTTCGCTGACAGCCTGACGCAGTTACGATGTTAGCTATTTTCTACTTACAATCACTTCCAAAACTAGCATTTTTCCCTTATCTTAGGATCGTAGGGAAGTATCGCTAGATATGTTAGTACATAGGTTAGGGCTTGACACATCTACAAAACTATACATAACATATCACCTTTTCCTCTGTATGTATTGTATCAAAGGAAGGGAAATGTTTTTCGGTTTGTCTAACTTACGATATTTTATGCATGTAGTTCCGTCGGTCTAACACGCGCCTGCACAACACCAGCATCCTTTTTTATTTTTATACGATGTCGTAAACGATTATGAATAGATATTGTTCGTTGATTTGATGTTAAAAATACATAATGTACTCTTGTCAGAAATTACAGCGGAAAGTAATTTTGAATTACTTGAATTACTAATATTTTTAACGATAAGATGTTTAGTTTTCATGGAACCGTCTTATTCAATTAAATATAATTGATGAAAATGGTTTATCACTGTCCTCTTCAAACAAAAAAGATTCAGTATTACAATTTTTGTTTTAGCACCCACTTAATTTGTGATTACATCGTAGCAAAGCAAATTACATTTTTACCGCTTGAAGCAATTATAATACTTGGTGTCCAAATTAAATATGTAGTTCTAACTCGTTTTTGGCACTGTCGTGTATCGATTACACACTTTTCCAATGTAATATGAAAGGCAATGTTATTTGAACTGTATATAACAATCTGTCATTTTCTTGCCATTGCCATTTTATTTCAAGCGCTACAGTTCGAATTGCTCATTCTCATTGGTGGTCCCCACTCTTGAGTCTGATGAGTCTTATCCCTACCCTCCCGCATTTACCCTTGAGTGGCTCGCGCGTGGCATCCAAGGTCGCTGAAAGTGCAAAATGCTGGGCGGACCTGGTCTAACACTAAGGAAACACTTGTTGTTTCGAGTCGGATGACTTACGAGTGCAGCATGCGCGCGCCCTTGAGCAGGATGTTGGCTGCGCCGGCGTACTGCCTGGCGTCGGCGGGCTTCTCGCAGGCGACGCGGTGCAGGCAGGTGTACGCCGCCCCGGCGCCCGCGCCCGCCCCGGCCTTGGAGGCGGCGGCGTCCCCGGCCAGGAAGCTCAGCGCCAGTAGCAGCTCGCTCTCGGTCAGCGTGGGCAGGTAGGACGGCGCCGCGCCGCCGTCCCCGCCGTCCGCCGACCGCCCCGTCGCGTGCACGCCGCCCTGCAACCAACGCAGGACTCGGAGGTCACAAACTTGCAGTGCATGTAGAGATGATGTATATGAGTCATTTATTACTACATCGCCAATTATTACTACAGGAGGTCTTGGAATAAATGTTGCAAAGTTCTAGCGATGATAATGGGATCGAAGATGATTACTTTTTGTCAAAGAACATGAATTGGAAAATATCATTCGTCATCGCCATGAAAACCACGCACAAACTTAGCAAAAGTGAATATATGTGTTAATATAGCCCTTATTTTATAATTAAAATATAAGAAAGTGATTGTCTAAAAATAATTCTTCGGTTAAGATCTGTATTTATTTACGGTGAGATGGTAGACCAGCTAATGTTAAAACTTGTAACATACATACGAGTATAAAATCCCAATATCTCAAAACATTTAGTGCTTTTTCTATCCGATTTTCTTAACTTTTTATTTTTATTATCTATTTTTCCCCTCTGGCCAATAAAAAGCTGCAACTCATCTATCTTAGGAGGGATATTGATCACTGTTGATGTGCAATAAATCGCATGTGTTCTGTAACACGATCTCTTTGTTTTTAACATGATTTCAGTTAATTTCAAAATTTGGCGCATTGGACGTTCATGAAATAATCCTATTTAATACTACTCGTGCTTTGGAAATTCTCACATACGCCCCTTCGTTGCTTTGCGATTCGGAGATTCAACGACAATTTCCAAAGAACTCGTATTACCAGTGATAATGGGGAAAACATTTGAAAATTCAAAATTCTTGCAAATGGCACTTTTAGCCAATGGTTATGCGACAGGAAATTTCATAAAACAGTGTTGCGACATTTGCCTCTGGTTTTTAGGCAATTTTTTGTGCTTTGATTCTAGGCAAGGGTTTCATATACGAATCGTCGTTGCAAAATGATCTGGTTAAATTATCTTAGTGGATTGTAAAATGGAAGAGCAATGAAGTTAAAATATAATATGTTCATCTTGATATCTCGGTAAATTACATTGCATTTCATTAACAATATGGACTGAGTCATTTCAAGTGGAAACTAGTGAGGCTAAAACAGTACGTACTTCCTCGCCCACACTTTCACGCACAATTACAGGAAAATTAGTGGTAAAAAAAAATTAGTAAATTACATAGAAAATCTTCAGAATTGACTTGTGGTAAGACGGCAAAAATTTTTCACTTTTTCAATTTTCAAAAAACAGTTTTCAACGAATATGAGACCTACACCATTCTCTTAAACGACCTTCATACTATCCAACAACACAATTTAATAAAAAACAATGAAGTCTTTTTTTAAATTGGAAAATATCCCAGGGGCTACATATGTGTACCCTTAAAATTTAAAATATTGGTTTCAAATTCAAAAGGACGTGACATCAACCGAATCTATTGAAAAATGTCAAGTTTGAAGAAAATCGGCTGAACGGTTTAGCTATTAGAGTTGTTCGCGGACAGACAGACAGAAGACGTTTTGCCATCATTTAATTTTTCTGTGTCAAGGTCCAATAATTAATAAATTTATCCACTTTTTAGTTACCAGGGCCCTGTAATAAGAGTTTTCTGCGGAAAATTCGCCGTTTTTTGGTGCAGCATAAAATAACGTTCTACTTTGTAAACGGTAGCGAGAAAGTAAAAATTATCACTGCCTTTTTAATTAGATAAACAAATATTTCCGATTTTTTGCTGAGAATCACTTTCGTTTCTGCACAGAAGTTTCTTGACGAATTCTCCTCTTTTATAACGTCCAGAAGGTTGTGATTGTAATAAGAGAAAGATTTGAGAACAGTTTGAATTGAATTGATGTTTTATTTTGGTGGCGAGTCTCAAGCCATGAGGCCTGATCTTCCGTCTGACTTCACAAATTTTGCTACGCTCCTTTCACCAACTAAGGGAGAAAGAAGGTATTACTTGGGAGACGAAACAAACTATTTGAAATTTGCTCAGAGGCTTCATATAGGCTTGAGAAACTTTTATAAGTAGTAAATCTACTACATGGGACAGCCGGCATCACTTCCCTTCCGATCGCAGGCGTAAGGAGGATTTTTTGCCCTAAAAATCCATGGTTTGGAACCCGTGAATTTTGGTATAATAGTCCGATTCACTAACAATTACACCATCGCCACAGCAATTTCAAGTACTGTCGAAGAAAAATGCAACTTTTTTTGGACACAAACGAAGATTTTTGGAAATTTGTTAATTAACGAAATGGATTTAATTACTACAGCGCTGTTTTGCGCGCAGCCCTGTCATCACGTCGGATTCCTGGTCTTAGAACGATAACAAGAATAGCTTGCCATACGACAGAACTGCAGTGCTGGGCGAATAATCCTAATATCGCCTGAGGTGGCTCAGGGCATCAACGGATGTCACTGCAGTACCTCCGAGCGGGAGGTTCTAGGGTTTGGATCTCGACTGTGGTCCAATTTTCGTGACTAGCTACATAGCTAAGTTAAATTCATCCGCTGTCTAGAAGAAAATTCAAGCATTCAGCTGCTCTCATCTGTACTTTTCCGTAGTCTCAGCGATCAACACCAGACGAATGCCGGAGAAGTACCCTAACAGATGGGCCGCAAACCACTCGCGATATTTTCTACCTCTCCCTTGCCCTATCTTCACCCCTTCCTTACGCACACGTACACTTGCATGCACTATTCTACCACTCATGTCTGGAGCTTAGAGATTGAACTGGGCGGTGCTGGTGGAAAATACCTGGCTGGGGAAACAAGGACGTGAGTCTGCAAGACGACCTGAAAGTCTGCGCCAGATCTCGCCAACCATTGGGCAAGAAAACCGCCACACCGTGATTTAAAACATAAACTACACTTACGGGACTAATGAACATAGCAGTTGATGTGCCATGTAACACGAAATAATCAATCAAATAACCCTCACAATAATCTCTCGAGTCTTCAACAGAGCTTCGAGTCTTGAAAATGCGAGGGATAAACAACAATGAAAAAATCGAAAAATAACAAGAGTCATTCTACAGAAATTTATGCTTCTGAGGACAAATCTACAAAGGAATGATTTATTGTTTATATTAGCAAGAAAACGCTGATATGTTTTTATACCTGAAATGATTTTATACCTGAAATATTGTATTTGTGTAGTATACTACAGGTGTCTCACTATATTTGCACATGCAGAGGGAAATCTTGTATAAGGAAAAATGTAAATCTTGTAAGGACATATTATTTACTCCTAACTGGTAGGCAACTCTTTTTACACCCTTGTTTAGCAGGCTGGCGTCATCAAAGAGATTTCGTGTACGTTTCAAATAAAAATACAGGATGAGTTGCGTGACAAATCGTAATAAATACGTCAGTCAAACAGAAACTAATCCCAGCTGTCAGCAAAAATTATCAAATTTTCGTCCTCCGTGTTATTCACGTCACGTGAGCGTACGTCCATTCATTGTTCAATACGTTCTCATAAAAACACGTTTTGAATGTGTTCGTTGCATTGTTCTCCGACAACAAAGATTAAAACTATCAAAATAATACGAAATTTTTGTCTAATTTCACAGGTCAATAAATTGATGGAAAAACATTTCAATGTTCAAAACTGGTTTTGAAAAACAAGGAAAGCTTTAGAAAATTGTTCCAGCAGTGCTGCTGTGAAATATATAAACGTACATCGGAATTTCATCGGAGTGTATTGAGGCATTAAAACATAGTTGCCCGCGGTTTCAAAATTTATTCCATCCCCAGGGCTGGTGGTAAACATAAAATTTAAGAACAACACTACTATCGATGTAAATATGGCTATTCCAACATAGCATTCTGTAAATAATGATTACAAATTGTACTGACCTTTCTACAAGATATACACATGGTATACAAATGGCAATTACAACACTTTAGAGCATTGTACATGGTGATCATAACATAAAATATATTGTTGAAGTGAGGTCAGAACTGTTTGTAATCATTATGTATAGTATGCTATTATGTTGTAATTGTTACACTAAATTCAATAAAAATCGCCCTATTTGCGATGACACGGAACTATTTTGCTCAGGACCCGATCTACACAAAATGCGTAATACAATGCAACTATATCTTCATCTAATCGATAGCCTCTAAACTAAAAATTCAACTTAATCCATAGAAAACCGCTGCCGAAATATTTACCCTCAGTCCATACACTCCTCCTACTCCTTGAACACTAAACCGCGAACCAATAATCTGGGCCAATCTAATCCACAGAACAATACAATTAAATACTCTGGACTCAACATAGACACAAAACGTAAATGGAAAAAACATATAAAAACATACAGAAATAAAATTAGTGCAACTAAAACCTAATATCAATATAAATTTCTCTCTACCGTATAGCACAGCCATAATAATGTAAAAAACCATACTAAGATTCCTACGTTTATACGCGTGCCCCATCTGGATTCATGTCGCAAAAACTAACATTAAGGAACAACAAATCCCCCAAAACCACTTTGTAAGGTTAATGAACCAACGCCCCTTGATTTGTCACCAACGATCAACTCCACAAAGAATTAACCGTCGAACCCATAGCCAATCATATCAATTACCTTGCCTTCAACTACTATTTCTCCATACCACAAATTCCCATTAAATGCACTCAACTTTGGCCTAAATCCTACACAACCAACTCGAATCCAAAAAAAATTTCCTTTCCATGCATTCCTGGAAAAATTCACAGAAATTGAGCATTGACAGAGTTGCCTAATTCGGCTTCCTCGCCCATGTAATATATTAAGCTTAGTTTGTAAGTAAGTAATACACAATCAAAACATGTAAACATTATAAAGTTTTACTTATCCATGTACTTATCAACAAGAAAATAAACAACAAAAAGTCTCTGACCAACACTTCGTCATAGGGCT